CTCAGCTCAGTGAATACCAGGAGCTGCTGGATGTGAAGCTGGCTCTGGATATGGAGATCAATGCATACAGGAAACTGCTGGAGGGAGAGGAACACAGGTGCACATGTTTGTGGTGTGCTTTATAAACTGAATCAAAGTGATAAATGCGTGAAATCCAGTTTCAGACTGGCCTATGTTCTCACATCATTGAACTGTTTCAGCCCTTGTGGAGGTGAATGAGACTGATTGGGCTAAAAATAAATAAATAAATAGAAGTCATAATCTCATCTGTACCTTGAGGTACCTGAAGCCAAGGTATCTGTATGTGTGGTATTTGCTGATACCGAGTGTTTTTCCACAGTAGAAGTATTTTATCAAGTACTTTATCACGAGGATGCCATCAGAGCGGGTACTTACTGTAGGCACCGTGGGTAGGATGTGTGGAAAGTGATACTTGGATCAGATTGGACTGTTGGGATCGTTGCAACAGCATTGATTCCAGCAGCATCATTTTCTCCTCCTGTTTTAGACTGAAGCTGTCCCCCAGCCCGTCTTCCCGAGTCACAGTGTCCAGATTAACAGGATCTTCATCCTCCCGCTCCTCTAAGAGGAAGAGAGCGGAAGCAGAGGTTAGGGAGATGCCCGAGATTGGAAGAGGAGAGGAGCAGTTGCTGGTGTCAGAAGAGGCTACGGCTACTGGAGCCGTCACCATATCACCGACTGACATGGATGGAAACGCAGTCACACTCATCAACGATACTGAGCAGGTGTGTTAGGTGGAATTTTATATTGTGTCTCCTTTTGTGAACAAAGTGCACTTCTGTATTAAGGCTCCTCGTGTCTTGCAGGACCAGCCTCTGGGCAACTGGAGATTGAAGAGACAGGTTGACAATGGGGAAGAAATCATCTACAAGTTCTCACCAAAATATGTCCTGAAAGCTGGGCAGTCTGTCACTGTGAGTAGATTGCGTATGGTTGCATGACCCTAAACGATCAGTCACGTACAGACACACGTGTAGTGGATGTGAGACAGGAACACTGATAAAGAGCTCACCAGCAAAGATCATTTGGCCTGTAGCAGCCATCCTCCCTCTCCCACTGTGCTGAATGTGCTACCACCCACTGGTGGTCTCATGCTACTAGTATTTGACAAGGACACCAAGAGAGAAATCAGTGGGATAAGGAGGGAGTGAAGGTCTGTGGCCTCCAACTGCTAGACCCTCTGGGGCATTGACTTGTCTCTCCACTGCACCTGTTGTCATTGATTTGCACCTGTGCAGGTGAAATGGATTCCCAGCGGCTCAGATTTCCTACCTGGACAGACTGATATTTCTCAAGTTTAACAGACTGTACCGTGATGTTCATGCTGTGTAATATTGTAAAAATGTAATACGTGAAGCTGTATGTTATACTTTATGTTGTAAAGAGCTTTTTTTGTTGTTTACCTGCACCTAGGTGTGGTCTGCCGATGCTGGTATGGCTCACAGTCCTCCAACTGACTTGCTGTGGAAAAGCCAGGCTTCCTGGGGCACAGGAAATGACATAGTTACCTCTTTGGTCAATGCTGATGGCGAGGTAAAGACGTCCGTGCATAGCTAACTAAACCAGTTTCCTTTGTTTGAAATTCGTACATGGTTTCTATTTTTTGAGTCATGCGGTGTTTGTCTCACAGGAGGTGGCCAGGAGGACTGTAACCAACACTCAGGTGGATGTAGATGATGTTGATGGCGAGGAGGAGACAGTGGCACAAACGGTACAC